TCTACTGCCAAAGTTACCAATATGGCCGAAGGAAATGCCTCCGGCTGAGTGGCAGACCTACTTAGACGCGTGACGGGAATATTCTCCCTCTTAGACGAGCATTAGTGGCGCCTTCGACATCCGCTGAAATAGGGATGGCGCCCATCCGGAACTCTAGGAGAGAGCTTTTCCTGTACGATTGACAATGGCCTAGATGGACTATATGGGCGTGCAGCGAAGACGAGTGGTTTTATCAGACAACAGTTCTGATCGTGGTTTATAATGTAACCTCCCTTATACCGGTATGTTTTTCTTTCTTCTCGCTGTTTTCTATAATCTTTAGTCCAGTCGTTATAGGTTCGAGTTACTATGATTTCCGATTGCGTCTCTCTACTCCCCCGTAATCTCCATTTAAGAAAAATGGGGTTCTTACATTTTTCTACCCATTTCATTAACATCCATAACTATACCAAATAACAGAACTCACATCAATGATTAAGTATTACTCCGAGAGAATAAACTCTGTAGGTATTAGAGAGACCCACTCCTCTTTGAACGTCGGACGCTACTGAATCACAAAGAATAGAAATTACATCACTTAAAGACATTCAACAGTAGCAACAACTAAAATGGATATCATATATAACTCGAAAATAATATAAAGATGCAATCAAGATGTTGACGTTTCACACCACTACAAACAAAAGGTTAGGACGGAAACCGCCATCAATAATGGAAAGACAGATAACAGTTACTGGACTTGAGAAACCTATTGGCGAAGTGTTGTAGAGTACCAGATGGTCTGGCTCATAGCCTTAAATAATCTACGATTAAGGACTTCAACAGTTGTTTAATAAGTTGATACTAAGCTGATTAATATTCGGACTGATCTTACTTCATTTGGCTATACAGCATTTGACCCTTCTCTATTCCTTGTAAGTTGTCTTGTTAACTGTTTTATAACTTATTGTTCTGTGCTTTTTTGTATGTATACGTATACGTTAGCATCGGACAGGGCAGATGAGGTCATTTACAACAGCAGCATCTAGGAAACTTCCCAGAGGTTTCTGAATTTTCCATTTGTGTTTAGTTATGTCAGCACCTGAAAAAAACTTCGGATTTTGGAACTTCGGACAAAGGAGACTCAAACTGTATGGCCAAGTTGTGGAGGAAAGCCAAACCGGAATTTTTCTTTTCTTTTTCCTTATTATTTTTTACTCTTTTTTTTAAACTTAAGAATTAATTCCCCCTCCCCCAGATGTACTAGAGTAGAAAAAGTAATCTACATTTTTTGGTTGGCTGAGCTAAAATCTGTAGCAGTGAACCAGGTTCAGAACTCGTTACAACAATAGTTTTCAAACATTTTTGCTCAATACGCCCTTTTTATGTCAGAATGCCATCACCCCATCCAAGTTTGTCCGATACAAAAGGTGCATTCCCAAAAATATACATAAACTGTTGAAAAATGTTCATAGTTTTCCATATTAGTATATATATACATTTACAGGGAGGAAATTCAGTAAATAAAAATAAAAAGAAAAAAAGAAAAAGTAAAAGATGTCCCGCGAAACATGCCTCCCCACCCACTGAAACACGTCTGGGAGACCGCCCTCTCAGTTGAGAACCACAGCATTACAATTAAGAAGCATCACTCCCTAATTCCACTGCCAATGTTATAGGTCCTGACCTGGCAGCTCGACTACAGTCACTTTCTCACAGACCTGATGTGGCTTCCTTCTGTGTTTTCTACAAATATTTTCATGGCAACTGCTCTGACGAGCTACTCTCACTGGTACCTCAACTACATGAATTTAGGCGTGCTACTGGGTTGGCGTCTCTGTCCAGCCCTTTCACTGTCGAAACAGTTAAAAATGTAACCGCCTTTTCTATTCCAACAGCTTCTTCTCTCCCACTTCCCTACAGTAGAACTCCCTTCCTCTTACTTGCTTCCCTGATAGCTATAATATTGAAATGTAATGTGAATCGACATCTTCTAATGCCTTGATCTTCGTCCTCGACATTCTTTTCTCAAACACCCCTCTTTAGTAACCCATTGCGTGCTAGTGGCAGTTCCGCTTGGGGTGACATGCTTTAAAAAATGCGCATCTTCGCACCTTCAAGAAATAGATTTTGTCAATGACATGCAATTATCCCACAAACTAAGTGTAAATAAAAAGTATGGCATCCGTATAACATATCTTCTTTCTTCCCTTTGTGCCCCTATAGGACGTAGGCGATCTTGGTCATCCACATCTTCCTGTTCCGTGTAGCTCTTAATAAGTTTTGTCTTTTTATTATTTATCACAAAGCCATCCATTTGCACAAGGCCATCAAGAATTTTACGCGATGTTTTCCTCTATTCCTCTTTCCCTCTCTCTGTCCTGTGAGTTTCAGATTTTCCAAGCCCTCCTTCTTCAATACCTGCCTCAGAAATTTCAACTACCTCTTCCTGATGTTAAGTATAAGTGAACTTTTTGTTTCTCTCTAAAACTTTGTTGTTGGTCACGTGTTCGTCCCATGGCATCTTCAGCATCTTTCTGTCCGTCATTCGCTGCCATACAGATTTCACGTAACAGTTCAGTACTATTTACTTTGTTTTCAACGAAATTTGTTTTGTTTCTTAATACTCTGCTTAGCTTTTGGAATGCATCTTTGGCCATCCCAATACGTCTTCGGATCTTAGTGTCGCATATTCTGTCCTCTTTTAGAACACTTCCCAGATATTTATATATCTGTATCTGCTTGATTTTAGTATCCCCGTCCTGTAATTTTCATTTGAGACTCACCTTTTTTCTGATAAACAAATTAAAAACAATTGTTTTTTTTTCGTTTTTTTTTGCCCGTCCTACTTTCATTATGTATAGCTACAGAACTATAAGTCTTTAAAATTGCACCAGGACATTATAAACTCCCTCTATTCATAATCTAACGCATTAAAGGCGCTTTCACTCAGAATTCACACACACGGAGTGGGAACACAATAAAACTTACATACAAATACATATTTGTATAACCGTATCCAACTCATATCCTTTGCCAACCGCGGGTATTGAGTCTGAGACGGTCGTAAACAAACTCTCTACATTTCCATTTCTACTGTTTTCCTTTACAGCTTGGCGTTGTCACTTGATGCCTTTAGTTTGCATTAACCTTAAAGCCGACATAACTCTTTCCCGCCAGATTTGTAGTTAGCTGGGGAGAGATTTTGAAAACTGGGGTCAGTAAGAGACATCTTGATGACACCATTAGTCCAAATGAAGAGCTAAAGAGGCTGGGATCACGTGGACACCTAGCTGAGTTTCCATTGGACGAAGTTAATAGCTTTTCATTATTTCCCGCTTTTTCCTCGAAACATCAACCTACCAGTGCGGGAGAGGGTAGAGTTAAGTGGTGAACGTTTGTTATTAACATGCATCCACACACTCAAACACGCACAATCGCGTATGCGACAAATATATATATATATATATATATATATATATATATATATATATATATATCATAATTCTGTTACACGGGTTTCTGGTTTAGCGACCTTCTACAAGCAAAAGAGTAGATATTTCCACATATTATAAAATGAAATTTTTGCGTCATAGTGATTCAAATGGCCAGTCAAAGAAGGACATTTGAATCACTACCAAAAACATTTCAACCAAAAACGTTTGCGATTTATCTTCTTTTTAAAATATACACTTTTCTTTCGTTGGAACAACTATAATCCCTTCCATCTCTCTCTCTCTCTCTCTCTCTCTCTCTCTTTATATATATATATATATATATATATATATATATATATATATATATATATATATATATTCATGTATATATTCATATATATTCATATATATATATTCATGTAATTATAAATTAAACTGCACCTATAATCGAAATGAAAATAACTGATCCAACGTGCAACTTATAATAAGTGTGATTATTGAACAATATAGTTCATGCCACATTGACGGAAAACTTACCAGTAAAAAAGAATTCTCTTATTACTATATTTGTACAAAAACGCACAAACTTAAATTTTAAAATTCAAACTCAGCGTTGCAACCGCACGTTCCAAAATAATAACACATTTCTCATAGCATTTTTTTGGATTACATCTATATTTTTGTTGTCCTCTTATTACCGAGAAGTAAAAACAAGAACAAATCTATTTCCATACCAGATGATGTCTGTAGGAACAGACGAAAGCTTGTAAAAACTAAAAAAGACCTTATGAAACTGGAATTTATGAACAGGGATCATATCATTCATATACAGGTTCGGGGTTAGTGTACCTTATTGAAATTGTTTGCGAAGATGTATTATCGCCATTTAAATCATTAACCTCTATATTTGTTTTTTGTATGAATGATTCATGTAAATATATATATATATATATATATATATATATATATATATATATATATATATATATATATATATATATCAGCAAGTATCTTAGATTATAAAAATTACATAGACTGCCAAATATATTTATTAGGTATCTGATATACAAGATTTCGACATATCTAAGATTTTGCTATTTTCTAAAGGTATCTGTGCTGAGAGAGAACCCTCATAAAGTCTGTGTTTGAAATGACAAAGCGAACTCATGCATATTCTCTTCCTGGTGGTGACCATCTCAGGGATGTAATATTCAAATCTTAGATAATATGTTGGACTTTTGTATATCAGTTATGTAATAAATATATTTAGTACTCTATGACATTTTTATAATCCAAGATGCTTGCATTAAAAATGTGGCCCAGCTTATATTTATATATATGAACGCTCGACCATATTAATAGCACGTGAATCTTGCGAGGAAGTGCATCTGTCGCGTAGAAAGAAGAATCGTTATCAAAGATTATACACACGCATTTATGTATGCATTGATATATTCAGATAAAGAGTGGTATATACATATCCATTATCGGTATAAGTAAATAATCAGCGAACAGAGAAAAAAAAATTACAAACAGATAATTACAAAGTAAAATTTAAACGTGTGAAATGAGAATTACAGGAGACTAAAGAAAAATAAAGAAAGGAAAAATCCCTAAAAAGAAAAGGAAAAATGAAGACAGAAAGGTAAAATAATAGAAAAGCTACTAAAATTGTTCTCGATATATAAAAAATATCCTATATAGATATCCCATATTTGTATATATATTTATTCATCTGCATAGGTGCCATTTTCTTCCAGTATCGCGCCATCTTTGAGACAACTTCATGCTTCTATCCTCTCAGAAGTTGGCCCATTTAAACACTGGTCTAAGTGCTGTTTACATGTTTCAGTGAACTGCAATCTTTCCCAATAAGATAATTTTGTAGGAATTGAAATTTGGCAATCCGATTATTCAAGCTGATGTGAATACAGCGAATGTAAGGACATCTCAGTCAAGTTCTACCAAATTTGTCGGATCGAAATAGAAACAAATTGAAAATCAAAACAATGACACCTCTCCGATTGGCCAGCTATGAACGATTTTTATCGATTTCTGCCTTTAATTGCCCAAATTGAGAACAGTACTTGTCAATTCAACGTCCGATTTTGTAGAAAAAACACGTAATAGATAATGCCTTTCCATTCCCACCAGATACACAGCATCACCTTTAGATGCAGACACTTTATTTCTATATAACATTCATACATCTTTCTACTAAAATTGTTCTCGATATATAAAAATATCCTATGTAGATATCCCATATTTGTATATATATATTTATTCATCTGCATAGGTGCTATTTTCTTCCAATATCGAAAAACGAATGTAATAATTTAATTAGTTTTTTTTTTTATGTTTTATCAACACTTTGTGGCATATTTAAAATCGAAATATATTTTGGATTATAAAAATATCCCTTTTGCGATTAAATATTGCATTAATAATTTTTTGGAAATAATTAATTTCCCAGGTACAAGTCTTACTATTTAACTCATAGATGGGGGCGTAGATAGATTCATACCTTTTCCAGGGGTATTTTCAGGTAAGAAAATGTAACGAAGCCAAGTGAAAGCACTTAGCCTTGGAGCGGGTAGAATGGAGATCAACGTGTTTTAGTGGATTTAGCAATTTTCAATCTGCTTTTCTGAATCATCTTCAAGAAGCGAGAGCAAGATCTGAAAGGTCAGCCAATCTATCAGTGATCTCATCTCACAATCCTCACACTTGCCTCATATGTGGCCTTTGTAAATAACTAGCGGGTCTTAAATGCCCCTTAAGATTATCGCACAAACTTTCATAAATGAATCAATAAACTGTCATATCCTCATACGTCGAAATCGACGGGAGAGCCCATTATATATATATATATATATATACTTTGTAAAAATGAACAAGGAAAATGTAAAGATAAGTAAAATAAAGAAAGTATACTGAATATCGAAGTGGTGAAAGAAATAAAAATAAAGAAAGAAATTCTAAATATGTATATAAATAAAACTTTTTTTTTCTGGCAGAAAGAAAGAATATATATAAAGAATATATTTTAAAAAGAAATAAAGGAAGAAAAAAGTGAAAAAATAAAGGGTTGGATAAAATATAAAAAAAAAAAAGAAAATAAAGTTAAAAAAGAAATGAAGAAAAAAAAAAGAAAAAGAAAAGACAAAAAAGAAATAAAAGTTAAAAAAAAGAAGAAGAAAAAATAAACAAAAAAATTTCAAGTCGACAATAATGATTCATTAACTGACTGCTTTGTTTCTACTACTTATCCAATTGCAGGTTATTAAAAACCAAAATTTATTTTTAATTTGTAATAATTTTTTCTTGGAGATAATAATGATTTACTGATGCACCTCTTACTAATTAACCAATAGCTGGGGAAAGAAGAGGTGGAGTCATACTTTTCCTAAGGGTATTTGCGCGTAACTGTATGTAACGAACCCGACTGAGATTCGAACTCGCTTCTCCGATTTCTCACTCCGGAACGCTAAGCATAAAAATTAGACATGCTAATAAAGAGAGAAATATTCAATATAAGATTTCTAGTATTGGAACTCGGGACTCCGATTAACAATTCCGAACCAGTATCCATTCCACCACTCGCACATCCAAACTTACTACACCTGGCATTCCCAAAAGGTCACCAATCAATGTTTGGTTTGGTTTGTTTTACGGAATCTCAACCCCAATGGGTTATTTAAGGCCAACAAAATTTTTATTGCTGGTAATATTTTTTTCCAAAAATGTATTGCTAATATTAAAACCACTTTTTACACTTTCATAGTGTTTTGTTCACAGTTTGGGGGTTCAATATTTACCCATATTTGTGAGCCTAACATGTGCTATCATCCTGAGTCAGGGTGGACCTGGGAACACCAGCAATTGAGAGGTGATTCCATACTCCTCAAAACCTCCTGATTAGAAGCCTTTCTGTTGGATGTAGTTTATCGTCATACCCAGAACGCCCCATTGAAAGTGGGGAGGGTTACCCCTTTGCAGGGGTGCAGTCGGCGTATTCTGAATCTCCAGTCGACAGGGCATCATCGATCAAGGTACTGACCAGGCTTAACTTCAGTGATCGTAAGGAAACCGTTGTTACGAACGTGATGACGACAATCATGAAATAAAGAAAAAGGACAAGGAAAGAACAAAAGTGACGACAAAGAGAGAGTGGGAGGGAGAGAGAGAGAGAGAGAGTGAAGGAGAAAAAGAGAGAGAAAGAGAGTCGGAGAGCGAGAGAAAGAGAGAGATGGGTGATATAGTAAGAGAGAGATGGGGAGAGTGACAAAGAGAGAGAGAGAGAGAAGGAGAAAAAGAGAGAGAAAGAAAGTCAGGGAGCGAGAGAAAGAGAGAGATGGGTGATATAGTAAGAGAGAGATGGGGAGAGAGAGAAAGAGAGAGAGAGTGAAGGAGAAAAAGAGAGAAAGAGAGTCGGGAGCGAGAGAAAGAGAGAGATGCGTGATATAGAAAGAGAGAGAAAGAGAGTCGGGGATCGAGAGAAAGAGGGAGATGGGTGATAAAAAAGAGAGAGAGAGAGAGAGAGAAACAGAGAGAGAGGGGATAAATGCAATTTTAAAACATTCAATGAGAATAGTAAGAACAAGAACTGAATGGAAAAGTGAGAGTAAAGAAAAAACTAATCGAATGAGAACGTTAAAAAAAAAAAAAACTAATCGAACGAGAAATGTTAAAAAATGGTGGGATGCAAAAAGCCCTATAGTTTCTTCCTTCCGTTTTTCTTTTTTCTTTCACAATAAATTTATGCTCACTATAATGAAACTCTGGCAGCATTTCCTCTTTGAACGTCCCAAACAGCCCCAGGGAACCCGAAAGGACACTCCTGTCTGTGGCAGAAGCTTTTTCTAATCCTTTCATAATTCCTGATATTCAATATTCGACACTCTTCCTTCTCGACTTTCATTCTCTAACCCCGATTTTCTCATTTCTCTGCCCATTTCTGTTCTTTTGCATATTATTCCACTCCTTCTTTGTCACGTTATTTACTTTCTCTTGAAACTCTCTTTGTCTATTGAGTGCTATACTTTTTCTTTCTGAAATTTCTCTCATATTCCTGTTTATCCATGACATACGCATGGACACATGCACTTACACTAGCGGGAATACGCTCGTCCAGATTTAGTGGTTTCATTTAAAATAGAACATTCAAACACCTCTCTTACCTTTCATTTCCTGCTTAAATTGATATTAACAATGACAAAAGACCCAAAAATAGCCAGAGAAAAAATACTAAGGCATCACTTAATAATGATAATGAGGATGACGATAGCTACAACAACAATGCTACTACTACTAATAATAATAATAACCTAAAAGATAGAGACGAGTCAACAAAATAATAAATATTGAGCTCAATCATATAAGCGAATGCAGAAGTTATCTCTTAAGTACTGTAAAATTAGACGTGACCATCAGGCATCTAGTATAAACAAAGTCATGAATAATGACAATTGCACCTGGCACTATTAATACTCATAAGGATAACCGAACCAGGAACAACAACAACAATAACTACTACTACTACTACTACTACTACTACTACTAATGATAATAATAATAATAATCGCACTTGGTAATGTTAATATTAATCATAATAATTTGGCCCTGCCACTATTAATTCTCATGAGAATAAGCGAACCAGGAACTAATAACAACAACAACAACAACAATAATAATAATAATAATAAAAATAATAATAATCGCAGTTGGTACTGGTAATATTAATCATAATATTACACCTGGTACTAATATTAATTATAAATGAACAGTACAGTGTAACCCGGATGTAAGAGAGTTGTCGGGACCGGAGAAGAAGTCTCTTATATCCGGGTTTCTCTTATATCCGGGTTTGGTCTATTTTATATAAATTAACACAGGCTCTAATTTGGGACCAGACAAAATCTCTCTTATATCCGGGTTTCTCTTATATCCGGGTCTCTTATATCCGGGTTACACTGTATATAATAATAATAGTAATAATAATAATAATAATAATAATAATAATACTAAACGCATTAAGCTCTTTTAATAATCATAATGATAATTGCAGAAGGCACTAATAATAATAATAATAATAATAATAATCGCAGTTGGTACTGGTAATATTAATCATAATATTGCACCTGGAATTAAGCAATATTCATAATGATAACTGCGGAAGGTAATACTACTACGACCACCGCTACTAATGAATGCATTAGATCCTATTAATAATGATAATTATAATTGCAGAAGGCACTAATAATAATAATTGAACGAGGCGCTATTTACGATAACTAAACCGGGAAATAATAATAATAATAATAATAATAATAATAATAATAATAATAACCAAACACACATAAAAAATTATGTTGACTCCAAATGCAGATTCTCTGATAAATATCCAGAAAGAATTGACCATCTTATATCAGGTTGCACGCTGTAAAATTTGCAACTTTTACAGAAAGGAAACTGCAAGAAGCTGATATGAACATCACCCAGACCCTGTTACAGACACAGGACCTGTAAATATTTTATGGAACTTTACAATACACACAGACATAACAATTAAAGCTTAATCGCTTAGATATCGTTGATCAAAGACCACAAAAAACTGAATATACTTTCTTATTGACATGGCAGATTGTAATGTATTTTTGAAGATCTTCAAACAACTATCAAAATACAAGGATCTTGTAGTGAAAATTTCAATAATAGTTGCACATGAGGACATTAATAATTCCAGTTGTAGTTGGAGCACTCGGATGGATTGGAAGATGTTCTGATAGACTCATTTAAGGGATCCCTGACATACCTTAAAGAAATACAAAAATCATACTCACACTTTACGAAGGGCTTTATCTATGTAAAATGGGTGTGATTGTAGTAATTTTTTAATTTCTTTTTTATAAAAATGATCAGTGAAAAATGTCATGAGGCTATTTCTGACCTTAGGTCTCTGGTTGGGACCCGGAAGGAAATGTGTATACAACAGAATTCCAGGGAAATAATAATAATAATTGTCCATGATACTATTAATGACACTTATGATAATTGCACAAGACACTAATAATGATGAAAACTGAATGAAGGAATAATAATAATAATAATAATAATAATAATAATAATAATAAGAAGAAGAAGAAGAAGAAGAAGAAGAAAAATTGCATAGACATTAATAATAACTACGATTTTAATTTTAGAAGATATCTGGTAAATCTGGAAAAAAAAAGAAAAGTAAAAAAAAAAACACCTTTTCCGATAACTGTGAACATTTAAATTTTCGTCCATGTTTGATTTCTTTGTAAAAAAGGAACCGAAGATGTGAAATTTAAAATGAAGAGAGTCACAAGTATAGAGCAAAGATTAGCTCAACAGTTACACAAATGGTTAATGGAAGCAAGAATCTCTGAATGGATAACAAAAGATGATCGCTATCAAGAAAAATAAATAAACGAAGAAGAAAAAAAAAATCAATGTTCCCACCTATGCATTATGTGGAAAATACTCACTGGACAACAATCTAATCTGGTAGAAACCTAATCGTAACCCTATCAAAAAAAGAAGAATGGAAAGCCTGAAAGCAAGAAAAACGTAAAAAACGAATAAATATTTAAGAAATATACATTGTGGGATGTTCTGTTCATTTCCTATACTGGGCATGAAAACAACTGAAAAGTTTTATCTTAAAAAAAGATGGAAGCTGATAAGAATGTATCAGGTCATCCCATAAGTTCTGTCCGAATTTTGAATAAAGAAAACAAGTGACCAAATGTTACATTTAATTAGATTCAATCAACAATATATTTTCCCTGATGATCTATGACTTCCTTCCATCTATTAACAAGTTTACTAATTCCATTACTGTAAAAATCTTTTGGCTTTGATTCGAAGAACTCATAAATGTCAATTTGAACCTCTTCCTGTGTTACAAAAGCTGTTTCTTCCAAATAATTCTGTAAGCTACGAAACCAATGATAGTCTGAAGGAGCAAGATCGGGAGAATAAGGTGGATGAAAAATTTTCTCCCAACCAAGTTCTTCGATCTTTTGTGACGTGATTCTTGCTGTGTGGGGTCGCGCATTGTCCTGATGAAACATTTCAATTCACTAGAGCAGGTCTTTTTTTCCTCAAAGCTTGGTTCAAACGCTCTAATTGCTAACAGTATATTTGAGCATTAATTGTTGTATTTGGTGGTAAGAATTCAAAGTGGATTATTCCTTGGCGTTCCCATGATATTGAAAGAAGAACCTTTTACCCATGAAGTTCCCTTCTCGGCTGTGGCTGGGGTCCTTCCCCTTTACCAAGCCACTGTCTATGATGCTTAACATTTCGATAAAAGATCCATTTTTCGTCGCCAGTCACAAGTCTATCCAAAAAAGGTGAATCAAGTTTGTGAGAATGGAGAGAAGAGCAAATGTCAACTCGGGATTTGCGGTTGTTTTCAGACAATTCGTAAGGCACCCATTTTCCAAGTTTAGGAACTTTTCCAAGTTGTTGAAGATGAAGATGTATGGTTTGAACTGAGAACCACTGCCAATTCCTCAACTGATAAAGCAGGATTTTCTTCAAGGGCTGCTTCAAGAAGCTTTTCATCAAACTCAACTGGATGTCCGGTTCGATCTTCATCTTCAAGGGTGAAATCTCCTCCTCTGAATTTTGCAAATCATCTTCTGCAAGTTCTTTCATTCACCCATTCCTCTCCATAAACTGAGTGAATGTTTCTAGCCGCTTCGGCTGCTGAGTTTCCTTTCTTGAACTCATAAAGCATTATGTTCCTCAAATGATTCTTGGGTACTTCCATGTTAGCAGGGTTTTAATCAAACAAAATTTAAATTTATTGTTCTCTGAAATAAATTTTGATCAGTTTAAATGCATCTAAACATAAAAATAATGTTCAGCTCCATTAGACATTATAAATTACTCTTTAAATTTCGTTCATTTAAAAAAAAAAAGTTAAAATTCGGACAGAACTTATGGGATGACCTGATATAAAGACTTGTACCTGAAAGTCTATAGAATTTACGCCGAGAGAGAGAGAGAGAGAGAGAGAGAGAGAGAGAGAGAGAGAGATTAACAGTGTGGATTGTGTCGACTCTGCTATGAAGACCACGCAAATTAATCGCAGATTAGTAATAATTGAAAAGGAAACCAAAGAAAAGTGATTCTACTGACAAAGAGAAAGGAACAAAAAGCGAATTACTGGTGTTTTAAAACCACTTGCTTCAGATAGAAGGAGCCATCACGCGGGGAAGGCAATTCATTTCGGAGATAGAAAACTTTGATTTGTAACTTCCATCGTCTTTCGGTTACATCCAAACATGGAAAAAGTTATTGGAATAAATCCTTCTTTTGGCGACTCCTGCAGCCAAGCCGGCTCCAAAAGATGCTTTTCCTTGAATCTCTTCTGTTTGACCGAGTTGGGGTCCTGTTTATCTGGCCAGCACATACAGGTTGCACGCTGTAAAATTTGCAACTTTTACGGAAAGGAAACTGCAAGAAGCTGATATGAACATCACCCAGACCCTGTTACAGACATAAGGCTATTATTCATCGCCTAGAATTGTGCCCTTGAGAGGTGACTCTAGACTCAATATCTGATTAGAAAACACAATATGAAAGACGTTACTTTGAACAAAACCCGTTTGGACTAACATTATCTCCAAAGATAGACGGTAACCAACAGATTTACTAAGGAAACTGCGTACTTTTAGCATTACTTATTCGTGTTTGAAAGTGCAGATTTTAGAAGCACAGGAAAGTATTAGAATCTAAAATTTAAGAATCTTATGTAAGATTAAACCTGCAGCAGAAAAACCTGATGACTTTCCTTTAATGATACAAAGTCCAGTTTCTAGAAAACCATGAATACAATTTCATTTACATACACTGATTTAGAATTAGATAGGCTTACCTATCGCCTGGTTCACACTCCTCCTCGTTCTTTTGAACAGGAGTAGAATTTCATCCCTTGTTTCCTGTTTAGTACTGGGTTTCTGGTTCCTTCTAAAATCTTCGTCAACTTTATACTTCTGACGTCTCGGCCTAAACTCTATAATTATTTAAGTCTTGACCTCTCTGAGTCTGAAATTAGCTGTTATTTTTTCGGCATGGTCCCAAGAACTTCACTTAATGCCCTTTCTTACGCTAATGCAATACACAGAGCAATCCTCTACCTTGAGTGGCTCTTGGATTTTGGATTGGGTGAACTTTACCTATGCTATCGATATGCTCCTTATTGTCGCAAAATTCACCCGTCGTCTTGATTAAAACTATTATCAAAATGTGCCACAGTTTTCCTTTTCTTGTCTCATAGTTGCCTCATTTATTTCTCTGATCGTTACAGATTTCGCTGCCCATTGTCTTGTAGGCAGATGGTAAATTTTTTGCCCGTGGGATCAGTGGTCATAGGCATTCACTATAACTAAAAGTGTAAAAAAAAACAAAATATATTTTTTTCGAAACATTCTGATTTTTGGCCATAGTCAGTCAGTTATGTGCCATGCGTGATACACTCTTAGGCGATCATGTATCTTTCGATACATGACTGACGAGGCAAATTTTTTTCCCGCAGTAAGTGGCCATTTTTTCTGCGGTAGACCAGTTGCCGTTCAAGGCAAGAGAACCCGGTATGTCCTGCTATTTACCCATAGCTGGTATTGAGAAGAAGAGGATTCATACCTTTCAAAAGGGTATTAGAACGTAAATGAATGTAATGGATTCGACTGGAATTCGAACTACGCTCTACGATTCCTCAGAAGGGGAATCGGAGAGAGCTATTTTTTTGGCCATAATGATTTTGAATTCATGAAATTCACTCAGATTTTACTTTTCACTTATAATTCCTGTATTAAGCGCATATAATTATTCCACTCAGCATTCACTTACATATTTATACACGCTTGAGTAAAATATGGGCAGTTGATACGAGACAGTAGCTGACAATCTTCACGTATGTAATAGGTCATAATGCTTTGTAGACATAAATTATTGTTACACACGACTTCTTTCTTTCTATTGATGTGCCAGGTCCATTCAGGACGTAGGCGATCATGGCTCTCCACCTCCACCCATCCCTTGCAACAAATTCCTTCCCTCTGCTTCCTCCCCCAGACCACGTTCTGTCATCAGCTTGCTTAAGCCCGCCAACTATGTCACGCATTGTTTTCCCTTGTCTCTTCCTCTATTCGACCTGTGGGTATCAGATTTTTCAGGCCCTTCTTTCTCATTATGTGTCTCAGAAACTTCAGCTTCCTCTTCTTGATGTTAAGTATAAGCTCCATCTTGTTTGCAACCAATGACTACATCTATATCTATATCTATATATATATATATGGAAAATTATTGACAAGGCTAGAATATGTAAAGCTTGGGATGACCCATGCCCTTTGTGCCTCCATGAAAAATTGCACATTATTAAACTTCTAAATAATAATAATCTATTAAATAATAGACACGAGTTAACGGTTTTTTGTAGGCATCATCAGATTTTTGGTTTGAATTATTAGATAAAAAATTTTTATATAACTTGTTTAACAAATAAGCCCAATCATCAGATTCATAGTAGGAATAATTAACTACAAACATGCATACAACATAACACACTTCATAATCCATAGCCTAAATTAGTAGTTTAAATACCTTACATATAAGATAACCCTTTATGAAGTCGTCAAAAAACAAATGTTACGAAAGTTTTTCTTTTTTTATATGCACAACTCCCTTTCATAATAAAATAAAATAAAATAAATAAATAAATCTCCATAGACAAGCAAACTAGACGATGGCAAATACATCTTCCGTTTCATTTTGACACCCCCCACCTTTCCCCGACTTGACACCTTGAAAGTATCTCTATACCGCTACTTATTATAAACACCCTACACTCGCCTACCCAATTTAGACAATTCACCCTAGCTGTTGCCATGGGGATTTTGATTTCAATTTTAAAACAAGTAAATTTCAGATATACGTTATTCCAACAAAAATTTCGCTTGAAGATGGAACGGAGCCCATTTTACTTTCAACTCAATTTAATTTAAAGGATTATATTGAAGTTTTCGGCTCTTGTTTTGAAACATGAGACCTCTTATGTAGCGATTTGGAATCATATTTTAAATAAATAATTATATATATATATATATATATATATATATATATATATATATATATATATATATATATATATATATTACATTTATCTGTAAAACAATTTAGTGATAAGTAAAGAGAATGTTGAGCTAGTCAAAAGTGCATTTTCAACTGAGTGGCATATAAGATTTGGATAACAACAGACTTGGGTGAGTGGTGTGGTTAGCAGTAGACGGGTATAAGAGATTTGTATAGCAGTAGATTTAGATATGGGTGATTTAGGTAGCCAAGGACTTGTGCACGAGTTATGGGGTTAGCAGTAGATTCGGGTATGAAAGACTTGTGTAGCGGTAGCCTTGGACATATGTAATGTGGTTAGCAATAGACTTGGGTATGAGTAACTTTTTTAGCAGTAGGCGGGATGTGTTATTTGAGTAGGAATAGACGATTATGAAAGCATTCTTCAACTTAAGGAGAGCGTCCATGAGAGATGCAGGAGATCCCGAAATCGTCTGGAGGCCATGATTAAAGCCAAGTGCGATGTTATTGAATAAATCTACTCTTTAGTATTTCACGAAATCTTTGTGTAATTTTGGTAAATATATCTGTTAAAATGAGATAGCAGTGTTATTTTCATTTTTGTGTAATTATCACAACAATTTATCCATCGCTCTCTGTAGTATGTGTACGTGTTTAGATAGATAGATAGATAGATATAGACGAGAGAGAAAAGAGAGAGAGAGAGAGAGAGAAAGAGAGAGGGAGAAAAGAGAGAGAGGGAGAAAAGAGAGAGAGGGAGAAAAGAGAGAGAGGGAGAAAAGAGAGAGAGAGAGAGAGTGAAAGTCATGTATTTGAGAGATGACAAGAATGTCTTTTTTATTCGTGTAAGTGTGCGTTTAAACCCGTATTCATTTTTCTTTCTTTCTTTCTTTCTTTCTTTCTTTCTTTTGGTATGCTTTTTTGCCGCTAAACCCCTATGGAATTGTAACCACACTGTATGTTCCTACTGGGTAACATTAAAATGTTACCTGTCATTATATTTAATAACAAATTGCATCAGCTGTCCACTGGGCTGCCATATCGCTGTTCGCTTCCACCCAACCCTCATTTTACTTCGCAATTCACTTCCTTTTTTTTTCTCGTAATACTCTCTAATTAAGAAACGCTTTCATCAACAAAAAGAGCCATATTATTTTTTTGCGGTTCTGGGCTTGCGTGGTTAGTGGGCAGAGGGTCAAGCCGGTCTTCTTTTTGCGCATGCGCGCTCATACAAATGTTTAATCGTTCTCCATCGAGTTTATAGTTTGACATCCTATCACCATTTATATATGCTACTATATTTAATCTAATGAAACAGAAATCTTTTAGAATTGTATATCATAAGCCAATAAAGCAATCATAAAATTCCTAGCGGTTTAAATATTAGTTTTAGACGGATTGCGCAAGTAAATATTAGCTAGATTATTTAATCTATCGGCGTTCAAATCCGACTAAATTACTGTTTTACTGATGAGATAGTCTAAACATATACATGTAGACACATGATATGAAAAGCAGACATAATTTGGATTTGGTCAGAAAGTTTGTTCAGTTTATTAAATAAACTAAAAACTAAAAAACTAAAATAAAAAACAACACACATTTGGCCTTAATGAGGTTAACTGGTTCGCTCGTAAAAAATAAAGCCAAGGTTTTTTTGGAGGATACTTTTTGTAGTTTAGGATTAATTTAGTCCGTCTTCTAGGCACGATATTTCTCACAATTAAACATACATATTATTGCCTTTTTTAGAAGTGAAAAAACTTGTCATAAAATACCGAACGAAGGATTGCACCAGTAAATATTAGCTAGATCATTTAATCTATCCGCGTTCAAATTGACTGTTTTGGTTGCAAGAATACTCCCAAACATGTTTTGTTAAAGAATATGGACAAGTTCTGTCTATCAATTTTTTATTAAATCTTTCAAATTTCCAAATAAGTTCTTTTCTATAAGTAAATTTAACAAAATTCATATTTACTTTCATTTTATATTAATTTTCCCGAAGTCCTTTCGATTTTTGCTACATTTTTTTTCAGGGATTTTTCTTTGGGTAGTTATGCAACTGTTTCTTTTCTAATTTTGGCGTTTTTACGTCTGATAGTATCAATTTCAAATCACTCAAGGTGACGTTATATAAATTGTCAAACTAAATTATGTGTATGTGTGTGGGAGTACGTTTTGTGTGTTCATATATTAAACACGCTTCATATGCGGTTCCCTATTGAGATAGAATAGGGAAAAATTTCTGCGTCGTCAGTCATGTATCAAAAGATACGTGATCACCTAAGTGTGTATCGCATGGTATATAACTGACTGATTGAGAAAGAAAACTTTCAATGCTGCCTGCTTCTCTTTTATTACAACAGACCCCAGAATTTGTAGTTATTCCTTGCAAGAAGTCCTGTAGAATATAATAATATATAGTAATAATAATAATGATAATATATATATATATGCATCTATATATAGGTAAAATAAATATATAATAATAATAATAATAATAATATATATATATATATATATATATATATATATATATATATATATAACGTTTGTCACTTAGCTGATTGATGTTATCTTCAGAATCTCGGCTCCAGAGTTTTGTAGAAGGAACCTCTAGCAATTACTCCGTCCACTGATCGGGGGGGTCAGCAATTGACTGTTTATATTTCTCGTTTATATATATATATATATATATATATATATGTATATATATGTATGTATGTATGTAGGAGTATTTTCCCCCCTTTCATAGTATGCGTGTATCCGCGTATGAGTGCGTACGTGGGCACGCTTATGCACCCGACTACGAGTATATGCGTAATGAGTATGTGTAGGATGTCATAGTTATATATATATATATATATATAGAGAGAGAGAGATAGATAGATAGATAGATAGATAGATAGATAGATAGATAGATAGATAAATACACACTCGTCTCGGAAAACCTTCGGCTTCTTGATTTGCTAATGATCAAATCAATTTCGAAGGAAAAAAATGAAAGAGCTAGGAACATGATCGTCTGTCGAAAATAATCGTACAGCATACAGGTCCAATGCCCAAAGAAAAAGACCCTATACGAGTAATCAAAAGTACTCAATACAAAAGTAGATCAGACCTAGTCAAACCTAGAGCCAGACAAACCTACCAAGGTTTCACCTAAAGCGGATCGTGAGGGAAAGCCAGCTTTCCTGACGAAGTTTTAGGTGAAAAACCTTGGTAGATTTGTCTGGCTCTCAGGGTTTGACTATATATATATATATATATATATATATATATATATATATATATATATGGAGAGAGAGAGAGAGAGAGAGAGAGAGAGAGACAGATTGACTGCTTTACAGTGGATTCCACTGAAATATAGGGATTGAAATTACGATCATCAAATAACTAGATTTATCTCTTAGTACAACTAAGTAGAATTTTGAGGCTGTAACGATGTGATGACAATAAGTAAGACGTAGACACAAAACCGAATAGACTTTAATCCTAATAATTCCTTATTTAAGATATTTCATTACTTATTTATGAGGAACGATGCCTTTCAAAGATTTAATAATTTATTTCTTACTGTAAACTCTACACCTGATTATTTTAACGATATTTTCCTTCAACACAAAATAATAGTTAAACGTCAATATTATTAAAAAGAAATAGCTTTCCTCTTCTTCTTTATACCGTGTCTCTTCAGAACGTGAGCGATCATATCTCTCCACAACTTCCAATCCTTTGTACCTCTTACGACAGTTTGTTTTGTCTCTATCCTTGCCGTCACCTATTCGGCTATTCATTTACACAAGCTTGTTAGGTAGGTTGCTCCTTGCTTCCCTTTCATGCTCTTGCCTTCAATAGGTCATGTGAGAGTCAAATCCTCCAATCCCACTTTCCTCATTATATGTCCCAGAAATTTCAACTGTTTCTGATTCTAAGTATAAGCGTCATTTTTCTTTACATTTTCTTAAAAACTTTCTCGTTATTCACATACTCAGTCCATGTTAGTCTCAGCATTCTTTTGTAGAACCACATTTCTGTTTCTCTTCTTGGTTAATTTTGTTTAGTATCATATCAACCTCTACGGGTTATTCAATGCCGAAATCTACATATTTTCAACTACAGATAATTTGTACAAAATTTTATACTTTCAGGATAAAGTTCTGTGTTTTTTGGGGTTTTTTTAGATATAGAGTTTGTAGATCATGAATTTTATTGCTGATAATTTTACTATAAAAATGTATTTCTATATTTTTTAGTGTTGCATTAATTCTTATTTTGCCCTAAAAATCTATTGTTACTGATTTTATTATAAAAATGTTCTGTTCTTACAATCTTAAATAGGTTTCGGTCTTAAAAAAGCCATAAAAGGTTTATAAGCCGTAAAAAATAAAGAAAAATAGAACAAATAAATCACAATGGTGTGATTTCCATGATATTTAGATTGGAAAGCATATTCATATATATATATATATATATATATATATATATATATATATATATATATATATATATATATATATATATATATATATATATATATATATATATATATATATATATATATTTCTCCACAAAGCAAATAATAACGATAGTGAACACACAGCTAAAATTACATACACATTTATTACAAAAACCAAATGCATATTAATTACAAACAAGACGAATCTTCTCAAAGGCATATTATAAAGATATATACTACTCCATTTGATCCGAATAATCAAATTTATTATCTATTATAAAAAATTTAAGACAGCCAAACTTATCCTCAAAAATAACAACACACCAGCTAAATCAAAATTACAAAGAACGAACATTATCTATGAGTTCAAATGCCCTTTAAGGTACTGCGTTCCTGATCAAACCGGACTCATAAATAATAACATCGGTTACACAACCACATGCTTATCCAGACGTCTTACGATACACCTATCTGATCGCAGCTTCATTAGAACCCATTTAAACACACACACAAATTTACCAGACTCCATTAGGAACATACTAGTAGAAAACACAAATATATTCACTGCATCCACCTGCAAAAAAGCCTAAAAATAATGGAAGCTTTAATAATAAAAAAGAAAAAGCCAACTCTTAACAATATTAACTACGAACAAAGCCACAATGTGCTAACCGTATTCGGAAATTAAAAACATCCGTACCACACACTAAGACATACACTCAAGAACGCACACACTCAAATAAACTGAAAAATCAAATCAACCTTGAAAATGGCTAAAGGTATAGCGGAAAGCGCTCGGAAATATAAAACATTCGGACAGTTCTTAGACACCCTTTGTCCAGAAAACAAAGCTCTTGTTCGAACACAAGAAAAATTAAATAAAAAGCTTAACCGTAGTACCTTGTCTGTCGTTTTTAATGAAACATGCATGCATGCACACACACACACACACACACACACACACACACACACACATATATATATATATATATATATAAGGAAAGTTGGCTCCCTACGCCGCGCCAGGAAATTTATCTCACCGGAGTCGATCCTTCAAATCTACAAATCAACCATTCGTCGTGCTATATATCGTTTTGAGCCCTTTCTGTTTGTCTCAAGGTCCTTGATAATATGCAAAGACGGATATGCAATGTAATTGGCCCTGATCTGGAATCTCGTCTTTAGTCGCTCTCGCACAGACGTACTGTTGCCTCCCTCTGTCTTTTTTTACAAATACTTTCACGGTAACTGCTGCGATGAGCTGGTTTCGCTCAGCTGGTTTCGCACAGACTTCATGAATTTAAACGTTCAACTAGGCTCTCGCTCTCATCCTTTCACTGTCGAAA